CAGGAATAAACGCTCAGGAACACACTGTCAGACAACCACTAGGGAAACCACGACAGGGCAATAAGGAAAAGTAAATTTGAGTTTAAATAAGTGCTTTACTGTTCTGATTTGTGTAGCAGTTGAGGAGTAGGTTTGGTATTTACATGAGGATAGATTTGGGCCACATATGTCTACTTTCAAGAGTTGCATCAGGCAGGGTTATCTGACAATTAATCAGAGAAAGGCTTGGACCGATGAACCTTTTTGTTCAAGCTTATGGAATGGCTTGCTGGACCTCATGTTGAAAATGGTTGTGAAACACTGGAAGAGTTATTATTATTTGCATTTATACAGTGCCAACATATTCTACAGTGCTTTACAATTATAGAAAGGGTGATATTTAAAAGTGAAGAAGGCACTGCTCAAATACGCTTTCAATCTATGAGGATTTGAGATAGACAGATCTTTATGTGTCTTGCCAACGGACACTTACTGGTGAGGTGGTCTGACTGGGAATTGAACTTGGGTTTCCCAGCTCCTAATGTCCCAAAATTGGGCAGCTGACTTCCATAAATGGTTTCTATACATTCAGGTGGATGTATGCCAGTATGCATCTCACTAATTTTTCCTAGGGACTGCAACATAAGTGTCAAGTTTTGGTGTACTAGCTGAGCTGTCAGGCGAGTCTGGTAGAAAACCAGATATATAAATGAGTTTGGATATTTTGATTAAGTTGGCTTCATTGACTGGATTTACTCAAGTATTTAAGTCTACAGTGAATGTTGTAAACTCTTCAAAACAAAATCCCACTCTAATTATACCCTTTCAGCCAGAGGGGAATGATATGAAAATAATTTGTTCCATAAGTGCACCACAAATCAAGACATTGTGCATTGTTTTACCATGTTTAGCCAGGTCAGTTATCAGAAATTGATCCTCAAGTAGCATACCAAAACTTTTCTGTACCAAGTGTTTTAAAATGTGCTTAGAGCAAAGTTACTACAGCTATTTCTAGGTTTATCACCAAGGTTGTGGTGGTTATCAGGCATCTACAGTACACCTGAATGCAACTGGTCTTGAAATGTCACTCAGACACTACAGAGAGGGCACTGGCGGCCGGGAACACATGCACAGCCTAGAGGGTACTGATTCGGCAGTGGTTCATGTCAATGTTTGAATAAGCTACTTGGTAAATGTGCATTGGGGCAATATTTTCAGCCCAAATTGAAGAGTAACTGGTGAGCACAAACTTGTAGTTATTAATTTTGATAATTCCTCGATGCCTTAAAAGTTGCGGTATGAATAGTTTTGCTATGTCGTGCCTGTTTTAGTGGTAAATAAATGAAATCCCAAATAATGCACAGGGCAAACGTTCACAGTAACCTTTTTTCTTCATTGCTTTCTATAAAACGAAAGTCTTATCTGGTCTAACACACAACTAGATTGTTACATAGCATATTTTCTATGTCCCTAAATTTTATATGCAATTATACTTCTCTTTATTCTGTGTTACAAATGTGTTTTGATCGGATTCGTGACATTCCTGGTTAATGTTTCCCTCAAACTGATTGCTTCCAGACTTACTATAACCCCTAACATAGCATAGTTTAATCCTGACATAAATTTGGAGTCCTGATATCCTGCTGGTGCCATATGAGAATATGTGCGTGCTAGATGTACTTCACTGTTTTTTATTAGTGCATACAAAACATCAATAAATTGTAAACATAAAAAAAAAAAAAGATTTACTATTTTAGCTTAATTCATTTTTCATGATAGTCAACCATTTATTTGACAGAGAAGTGTAACCAACATATAATGCATAAAAAATAGATAAAACGCGGGATTAAAAATCTTTGAGTTCTGGTTAATATTATTCAGAGTAGTAATAAAACACATGGTAAAATACTGCAAAATGGAATTCTTAATTTAACCCAAGAGCATTGAGTTGTCATCTGGGAAATGCCAGGCTGCTCCATGTTTAATGATTTGCTAAGTGTAATGATATTATGCCCCAAGAAATTTAGATTAAGACTTATTAAGTGACTTATTAATATAACCACATAAAGCAAAGACATAACAGACATTTTACAATTTCACCTTTAGACCGAATGGAACATGCAAGCAGAGATTAGTCTTCAATGAAGTGCAATTTTAGGCAGTAGTGGAACTAACGTGAAGAGGGACCTGGTGCCCCTTCTAATGCAAGGGTGGCGAAATGGTAGATCATCAACTGTTGTACAACTCCTACGGTGATCGACCATTTGGAAATCTACAATTTGCCCATCCTTGTAGAGTTGTATTTGTGAGCAATGTGTTTGAAAGTCTGCAGTGTTTGCATAGTCCAGCCATTTGAAGGAATTGTGTATTTGTATCTAGAGTTGGTGTTTGAATGCAGAGTTGTGTTTGTGAGCGGTGCTGACGTTTGAATGCAGAGTTGTGTATGTGAGCAGTGTTGGCGTTTAAATGCAGGGTCGCATGCATACACTGCCACATACACATACACTAATACACAGGTACACATAAACATTGACACACACACGTACTGACATATATATTCTTTAATATAATGAAAAAGTGAATATATAAGTTAATATATATATGTATATATATATATATATATACACAAACACTGACACAGTGATACACATAATCACTGACACAGACACACAGATACACACATATACACATACAGCTGTAGTGCCTATTCTTCTCTTCCCAGTTCCCTGCTGTCTCTGGGCCAGAATCCAATCCACTCCCTCTAACCACACTTGAGTAGAATACTGACAGTCAAAAACGAATCCTCTATACAGCATTAAACTGAGCACTACTCCTCCAGCCAGGCTTCAATTCCTTCTGTCTCAGGAGACTCAAGGCTGCATCTTGAGAAGCCCTACTTGAGCACTACTTGAACCTGTGTGGCTGTGGTCTAGTACAGCCTGGAGGGGTTCCGGCATCAGCAGAGCAGAGCATTGTTAAAACATACTATGTCTGCTCATTCCAAAGAGCAGTGGCAGGGCCCCCAAACCCTCTGGGGACAGTTTCTCTGACTGCATCGCCAGTAGTTCCACCATGGGACACTGCATTGTTTTACCATTCATGACTCTATGTATCAGAAAAATAATGTGTTAAAAAAACCCCCACAAATATAAAAACATGGGGGGCGACGCTCTCAAATAGCCAAAATCATGGCTAAAACCCACAAAATCGATGGTTAGGCGACCTGGAAAAGAGAGACCTAACATTGCAGAGCCAAGAGCCAAGCATCCCGACCGAAATCAGAGGCTTCAAGCCGTGGATAGACCTGAGGCCTACAAGAGGCCTACTCAGCCAAAGTGAGATACTGCAGCCACTCCTCGGCATACTTCCTCCCCCCCCTGCCGGAGAGGGATATCCCGGCAACAAAAGCCTGAGACACAACGACTAAAACACAGAGGTGACTGTCCTACACAGCAGGCACAGCACCAGCAATCATCGGGTCACTGAGAAGCAGCTAAGATGGACGCCAAGCGAAGGCCCCAAAAACGAAGCACACAAGCCCAACCAACCACGAACCCCCTGGGGGACTTCGACCAACTCTGTTTGAGCCTCTGGTCTATGCTGAGCTTACCACCTGGCAGTGAAACTAGTGGCCACATGGATCCGTCCAGTAACCAGGCGGCGCCATTACAGGCATCCACTACAAGCACCCAGAAAGACAACCAGACCCTACAAACACCGTCGATCTCAAGGGTGGGAAACTACGCCATATTGCAATGGCCCCCACACTCAAGAAAACAAGACTGCTAAGCCAACCTCCCACACAAGCTACTCACCAGCTCTGGGAACCGACGCCCAGCGGGGCTCACCTCCACCCCTCCAAGTCACAGCTGCAAACCGGGGAGCTGCACAGTTGAACACTCTGCTAAATACCGCCGGAGCGGAGCCCCAGTGCTGGAACACCTTCCAGGAGACCAACACTGACAACAGGAGACACGTCCATGCACTGGGCATTGGCTGAGGGACCTGCCTCAGGTGAACATGCCACAAGCGCACCTGGAGGGCACATTCACAGCCGTCGACACACGGACTACCTACACCACGTAACTATGACTGTCCAATGCATAGGCTAAGTGCATTAAGTGAACACTGCTGGCCGACCATTTAGCCTATATTAATCCTCTCTATGTTACCCTTCTATAACTGGTACCGCAATAAGGGTTCTCACACATTGTCCCCTATCGATGTATGGCATCGTAAGCTACTAACCCTATGACAGTCACTCTCACTAATCTTCTGATCTTTAAAGATATGTTACTTTATGTTAAATTAAGAAACAAGCACGCTTGCATTGTAGCCAGTCTGGTCAACTAATAAAGCGCTAGTAACCACAACTCTTGCTATTGCAACTAGCATGTAACTATATCCTGACCTAATCAGCATGCATACTTCTTGTTTCACTTAACCTTTACACTCCACCAGTTACTTAGCCTGACTAAATCTTAGGATTAATAATGCTGGTGGACACCATATCATTGTGTTCTTGCATAGCAAGACCACTTAATGTTATCTCACATATATATTATTATTATTAAGTGTTCTTGCAAGAACACTTATTGTTATCTCACATATATATTATTATTAAGTGTTCTTGCATAGCAAGACCACTTAATGTTATCTCACATATATATTATTAAGTGTTCTTGCATAGCAAGACCACTTAATGTTATCTCACATATATATTATTATTATTATTATTATAGCAAAATTTGCCACCCTAACTCCTCCCACAGTTTTTACACTACATAGACAAAAAATTACCAAAACGTGCAGATTGGTCCCGATCGGATTGCTATTACTTTGTGGAACGTTTCGCCGAATGGTTCACGGAATATCGTCGTTTTTGTGGCGAAATTTATCCCATAGGAATGAATGGCAAAGCTAGAGTGGGAGCTGCCAAAAGCTGAAAAATCAGGACATGATTTGTAAACTGCCACCACTCCCTCATTTTCCAGCCCACCTACACAAATCTTATATCAAAACGTTCAGCTATCCCTGCTGCCACTAAACATGTAAACGGCTAAGCCGTAGTCCTGATAGTTTTCACAATATGACCATTTGTTTGCAACCAACGCCGTCCATTGACATTCATTGAAACTTCACTCTACAAAGCTCAAATTTGAAGTGCAATTTCTAAACTGCGACTGTGCCTTCATTTTTAATACTTCAGAGACAAACTATGCATCAAAATGTAGGTCTGGGTCTTGTGATTCTCACAATATAAAGCTCTTCGCTGTAGGAGTTATAGTTTTTAAGATACGACCGTTTGAAGATGGCAGCCACCAAAATACTCTGACCTGTGTCAAGCTGCAGCAGCAAGTGATGTCATAGACAGGGCCTTTTGAACACCTGCTAATGTTTTTATAAATGTATGGTTTAATGTAACTGTGCAACAACGTTGCAATTAAATGTGCTATGTAAATGATAACAGTTACTCCCCACTCCAGTTGTAGACTACAGGTGGAGGCAAGAACACTTCACACAATTTCCCAGAAATTGTAACTTTTCTAGTTATTATTCTTATTCTTATTATAGCAAAATTTGCCACCCTAACTCCTCCCACAGTTTTTACACTACATAGACAAAAATTTACCAAAACGTGCAGATTGTTCCCGATCGGATTGCTATTACTTTGTGGAACGTTTCGCCGAATGGTTCACGGAATATCGTCGTTCTTGTGGCGAAATTTGTCCCATAGGAATGAATGGCAAAGCTAGAGTGGGAGCTGGCAAAAGCTGAAAAATCAGGACATGATTTCTAAACTGCCACCACTCCCTTATTTTCAGGCCCACCTACACAAATCTTATATCAAAACGTTCAGCTATCCCTGCTGCCACTAAACATGTCAACGGCTAAGCCATAGTCCTGATAGTTTTCACAATATAATCATTTGTTTGCAACTAACGCCGTCCATTGACTTTCATTGAAACATCACTCTGCAAAGCTCAAATTTGAAGTGCAATTTCTAAACTGCGACTGTGCCTTCAATTTTAATACTTCAGAGACATACTATGCATCAAAATGTAGGTCTGGGTCTTGTCATTCTCACAATATAAAGCTCTTCACTGTAGGATTTATAGTTTTTAAAATACGACCGTTTGAAGATGGCAACCGCCAAAATACTCTGACCTGTGTCAGGCTGCAGCAGCAAGTGATGTCATAGACAGGGCCTTTTGAACACCTGCTAATGTTTTTATAAATGTATGGTTTAATGTAACTGTGCAACAACGTTGCAATTAAATGTGCTATGTAAATGATAACAGTTACTCCGCCCACTCCAGTTGTAGACTACTACTGGTGGAGGCAAGAACACTTCACACAATTTCCCCAGAAATTGTAACTTTTCTAGTTATTAAGTGTTCTTGCAAGAACACTTATTGTTATCTCACATATATATTATTATTAAGTGTTCTTGCAAGAACACTTATTGTTATCTCACATATATATTATTATTATTATTCTTATTCTTATTATATGCCAAATTTGCCACCCTAACTCCTCCCACAGTTTTTACACTACATAGACAAAATTTACCAAAACGTGCAGATTGTTCCCGATCGGATTGCTATTACTTTGTGGAACGTTTTGCTGAATGGTTCACGGAATATCGTCGTTCTTGTGGCGAAATTTGTCCCATAGGAATGAATGGCAAAGCTAGAGTGGGAGCTGGCAAAAGCTGAAAAATCAGGACATGATTTCTAAACTGCCACCACTCCCTTATTTTCAGGCCCACCTACACAAATCTTATATCAAAACGTTCAGCTATCCCTGCTGCCACTAAACATGTCAACGGCTAAGCCATAGTCCTGATAGTTTTCACAATATAATCATTTGTTTGCAACTAACGCCGTCCATTGACATTCATTGAAACTTCACTCTACAAAGCTCAAATTTGAAGTGCAATTTCTAACCTGCGACTGTGCCTTCATTTTTAATACTGCAGAGACATACTATGCATCAAAATGTAGGTCTGGGTCTTGTGATTCTCACAATATAAAGCTCTTCACTGTAGGAGTTATAGTTTTTAAGATACGACCGTTTGAAGATGGCAACCGCCAAAATACTCTGACCTGTGTCAAGCTGCAGCAGCAAGTGATGTCATAGACAGGGCCTTTTGAACACCTGCTAATGTTTTATAAATGTATGGTTTAATGTAACTGTGCAACAACGTTGCAATTAAATGTGCTATATAAATGATAACAGTTACGTCGCCCACTCCAGTTGTAGACTACTGGTGGAGGCAAGAACACTTCACACAATTTCCCCAGAAATTGTAGCTTTTCTAGTTAATCGTTATAATGTTGTAACTAGCTCATCTGAAAATCGTTTGACACATACCGATCCACCATGTCATGTATAAATATAAAAAACAGTGCACTTTTTCCTGATATTGTATGTTACACCATTGCTTTATCTTGTTTTATCCTTTACAATGTTTAGCGAAAATTGTATACATAATCCTGCACTGCAAAAACAAAGAATTTATAAAAAAATATAAAAACATTGTTTTATAAAGATTTTTATCTCAGAATGTCCCTTTTGCAGATAATCATCAGACTCCGGGGACATGACAACAATGAAATGGGTAAAATGGTCAGGGAATATTGTTTGTATAATAGTCTTTTAGGAGAATTACTGACACAACAAGCAGGAATTGTCTTTTCTCTTCCTAGTCAATTTAAAATAATAAATAAAAATAGGACGCTTATTCAAGAGCATGGAGTGTGGTGGTTGCCTGTATTTACCTAAGTGGGCAGACTCTATAAACAATGGTTGTATAGTATATTGCTATTCCAGCTAGGGAAGCAAAAATATAACATAGTGCAACACTGTGTGTAATAATACTGGATATAAAATTAAGTGCCAAGTGATCACTCACACTTTGACATCAAATAAAGTGCCTTCAAAGATATATTGGTGAGTGTCTTCTTGCTTCAATGCTGAGTAGATGTTAATCTCATACAAAAGATAGAAAAATGCAAAAAAATAATGAAGTAACTGTGTAAATAAAGTGCAAAAAGCAGCATTTATTACTTACATCAAAGTAAATAATAGCAGATGATGAGAAATATATTCAATAGTAGTCCAAAGCGTTTCGTCCCTGTCAGGGACTTCCTCAGGGACAATCTTTTACAAAGTGCTAGATACAAATGCATGCAACTGTAACCCCCCCCCTCCCTATATACATCCCCCAATTAGTCCCAATAGCTATTCCACAGGTGGTTCCATCTTCTTTCAGCTGTTGTTAGTTCAATTCCGATCACTTCCGGGTTTCGGGCGCTCGACGTCGTCACGTGACATGCACGATGACGTCATGCATTCCAGATATGCGTTCCACCTTCGTTTTTATTAACAACTATAGTGGCAAGCTGAGAAGATGTTTGCATAAAATCCGCAAAAGGCTGTTTCTAGGTGGGAATATAAGTGGGGTATGTACAAGGGGGAGTGACAAAATAATTAAAAGGGGTTACTAATCCATAGTAACATGAACAAACTTTATTGACAAGAACAAAAAAACAGACACACCATCCAAGATGAAACATAAGTGGATACATACTTATATGCATGTGTATCTATTTAATGACACACTGCATAGGATAATATGTACAAGCCAAGATGCTCGAATTAAATACATTAGGGATGAAAAAAAACCATTATTAAATACAACTATACAAAATGCTAAAAAAATTACTAAAAAAAATATGTTAAAATAAAGATATATATAAAAAATATATCTCCTTATAATTATACGAATACCTATCAAAAATTAAAAATTGGAGATTATAAATTAGGGCATACCTAATAACCCTAGGAAACTAAATAAAACATGTATATATAAGTCTCATTTAGGTGCTGTATTTTAAAGAAAAAGGGAACTTTCTCTTGGCTTGTTCACTATTATTGTAGAACAAAAATAGGCAAATTTATATACATAGATAAAATATACGTAATGTATAAAGGACAGAGAAAAAGAAAATATGAAAATAAGAAGCAGAAGGAAGGAGTGATTATTCCAAAAAGCACCACAGACCAATATCTGCATTTAATCCTCCTGGTTGTAAGGTTTTCAATACATTTATCCAATACGTTTCTCGCTATGCTAGTTTTTTGATAAGGTTACCACCCCTCCAATGATTATTAATTTTTTCTAAACCTACATAGTGGAAATGATTCCAGCTAAAGTTAGGACATGAATTACAATGCATGGAGACTGAGTGTTTGTCATATTTTTTTCGGATGTTATTTTTATGTTCTAAGATACGTTCTTTAAGTTTTCTGCATGTACGTCCCACATATTGTTTCACACAGGGACAATGTAGCAAGTACACAACATTCTTGCTATTACAATTGATATTAGTTTTAATATTAAATTCCCTGCCAGTAACAGAGCTTTTAAAGTTTTTTTTACTTTTAAAAGCCTTTTCGTTATACAAGCTTTGCATTGGTTACATGAACTAAAACCTTTAACTTCGCTTTTAGTGTTTTCATATTTATTTTTCAAAGCATAGCTAGGAGCCAATTCTTTTGCTTTTCTAAAAATCATGGGTGGCTTCTTAGGCAATACTCCTCCTAAAATCTGATCTTTTAGCAAAATTCCCCAGTGTTTGTTTAGAATATTTTTAATATTTCGATGTTGGGTCTTGTATTGAGTAATGAAAGCAAATTAAAAATTTTCCCCATTTCCTTTATCCCTTTTATTCTTCCTTATTAGATCCCTTCTATCCAGTTCTCCAGCTTTTTTCACTTCTCTCTCTAATGTGTATTTTTTGGACATAAGTTTATTACCTAGATGTTTAGCTTGTTCCTGGCAGTCATAATTGTTTGAACAATTCCTTTTGATTCGGATCAATTGACTCCTAGGTATGGAGTTCAGCCAATTTTCATGATGGCAACTCTTTTTGTGAATGAAACTATTTCCTTCTGTTTCCTTAAAATAGCATTTCAATTGTATCTTATCATTAACGATATAGAATGTAATATCCAAAAAATTGATGCTTCTAGCATCAAATGTATGGGTGAACTTAAGATTGTAATTATTGATATTAATATAATTTAGAAACTTTTCTAATTCACTTTGAGTTCCCTTCCAGATTAAGATAACGTCATCTATGAAACGTTTCCAGAGGACCAGGTTTGCAACCCAGCCATGCCCCCTCCACACGGAGTTGGCTTCCCAATCTCGCATGTATATGTTGGCATAGCTGGGGGACAAACCTGGTCCCCATAGCTTTCCCAGTTTTTTTTTAAGTAGAAAGCATCATTGAAAGAGATATAGTTATGGTATAGGACGAAATGAATACCATCCAACAGAAAATTCCTTAGATCACTCGATATGGTAACATAATTTTTAACAAATTTTTCAGCTGCTGAAATACCTAGTTCGTGTTTAATTATTGTATATAAAGATGTAACATCAATGGTTACCCATATATAATCTTTTTCCCAGTCTCTATTTTCCATTAATTCCAAAATATGGGAAGATTCTCTTATATAGGAAGGTGCTTCTTGAGCAAATTTTTGCAAATGGTGATCTATAAATTCAGAAAGATGTGATGTTACTGAATTTATCCCACTTATAATTGTTCTTCCTGGGGGTTCTACAGGGTTTTTATGTAACTTGGGCAGAAAGTAAAAAATGGGAATTACAGGATGTTCAATATAAAGATACTCAGTATTTTCTTGAGATACCACATTTTTCTGAAGTGCATGGTTTAAAAGTATTTTTAATTCTTGGTTAAATTTAATTGTAGGATCATGTTTTAATTTTAGATATGTGTTGGTATGCCCCAAAATTCTACCTGCTTCCTTGCGGTAACAGTCCCTTGTTATAAGGACTATTGCCCCCCACCCCCTTATCAGCCTCCTTTATAATAACATTCTCCATATTTTGGAGTTTCCTAATACTGTCACTTTCCTCTTTATTGAGGTTAAATTTATTTCTATTCTTATTAGTCGTTTGTTGTAAATCTAGTTGTTCTAGATCACTACAGACCATACTGCTAAATGTTTCCAAGTGATGGCCTTTTTGACTAATGGGATAAAAGTGTGACTTCTTTTTAAACCTCTTCTCATCTAGCTGTGTAACTGGAGGTGGATTATCTTTTCCTGGATGTTTTAAAAAGAATCTTTTAAGGGTCATTTTACGAATGAACTTTTGGAGATCTATATAAGTATCAAAATAATTCATACCTCTAATATGTGCAAATTTTAAGCCCTTTTTAAGGGCTTTTATATCATCTGTAGTTAGCTGAACATCTGTTAAATTATATATCCCTGATGCTATTTCTAATTCTTTCTATTTTGATACTCCTCTCTCCGGAAATTCTCCTCTGATCTCTTCCTCTTGGGTGGAGTTTCTGTAAGGTTTTCTAAGGGGGAGAATCTGTTTTCCCATTGGTTGGTTGGTTGTTGGTTGTTGCGGGGTTTGAAAAACTGTGTTATTCGTCTTTCTTTTTGGTCTTGCTCCCTCCTTAAAAAACGTTTCTCCCTTTCTTGAAAGTTCTCTCGACCAGGACTAACTACTTCAGCATAAGTTCTCTGATAAGTGGAAGTACTAGGTCTTTGGGTAGGAGAATTTCCTGAGGCTCGCCTCATTCTTTCTTTTATCTGATGGGGAGGTGGAGATTGTCTGTCTTCTCCTCTATTCATTCTATGCTTAGGTGACAAATATGGCTCTTTTCTATTTTGGGGTTTATTTTCCTTATTGCTCCATGTAGTCGCTGATTTAGTATAGGAGTATTTCCTCCCTCTAAAGTTATCTCCATATCTGTTCCTAAAATCGTTATTAGCTGGTCCGGGATTTCTTCCGAAATCTCTATTGTCACCAGACTTCCTATAGTTAGATCTATTTCGTTGATTTTTTATTTTATTAGCAGTAGAAAAGGTATTTCTAAGCTTATCATCTCTGTCTCTAAGTTTCTTTTTGTTTTTAACATTAGCTATTTGTTCTTCCAAATCTTTAATGTTCTCACTAATTGTCTGCTCCTTTTCTTTAAATTCTGGATTATCGCTAATTATATCTTCCTGAGTTTCCATCATCTTAATTTCATCTTCTAAAGACTGTCTATTTACTTTTTCAAATTCTATGATCAATCACATGAGGTCCTGGGAACAATTCTCCAATATTATATGCCATTTTCTCATGAATTCATCATTTTCAATCCCATAAGCAGGTGTTTTATCCACTTTTGAACCTCTGGGAATTAATCCCTCCTTAAGGTAACCCTCTAGGTAGGAGATTTCCCACCATTTCCTTGTTTCTTTTTTCATAAGTAAACAATGGGTTAGTTCTCATTTAGTTAAACGTCAGATCGTTAGTCGAATACTTGTAATTTAATGTGGTACCCATATCGAAATAAGAGACGTAAGATGGAGCTCTGGTAAAAGTTTTTTTTTTGTTTATGTTTTTTTCCAAATGCTCTCATCTTTGCAAAAGCAGATTCATCCTTGCACTTTAGTCAGTGAATTTAGCATTTTACTATCACCTACTATTTTAATTTTTACAAGCGATGTGATGCCCCTGCTTGGTCAAGGATTGGTTGGCAATATGAGAACAACAGTGATTACAGCATCCATGCTTTAGAGAGAATTTTTGCAATAGTGGTTTTGTGCATGTAAGCCAATATCGTAGAGGACATACATGAAAACTAGAAAAATCTCAACGTATCTTTCCTGGTAAAATATTTTATAAATAAATAAACAATTAAAATAATTAATAACTGTTGTCTACCAGAGTTCTTTTTCCCAATCTAAACTCTTCTTCCCACATATAACATTTATAATAATAAGGGGGAACCCGTGAATAGTCCTCTCTTAAAGAACCAGCACAATAAGTCCATAGAACCCTCAAGAAACTGGAGAGAGTTTAACGTGGTGAAAAAAGACTGTATGGGTCAGCCAAGATCCACTTACTTTCCCTTTGCCCCAACTCTGATTTTCACCCAGCAGTGCAACACATTTATGTGCCATGCCTCCGTTCAGTCCCACTGTGTTTCTGTAGGATCCCCACAGAGTACGGCAATCTTTTTTAGTTACATTTCATGGCTGCTTTCAGGCGGATGTGGAGCTTGGAGGCTCTGAGCACGCTAAAGGATCAGGATACTATATTGCCTTCTATGCTGCAGATACTCAGTATTACTGTATGTGACAAACTCCCCTTTTTCTGTGAGTTTGCCACAAGTTTTTGGAGGGGCCTGTTTGCCAGCCTCCTATCCTGTGACTATAGCCTCTGGGATGAATTGTGTGCAGGGACATTGTTTGTGCCCTCTTCAGCATTTGGAGTTAGCACTTCGAACAGTCAAAATAGTCGAAGTGGCACTTCGAACAGTCGAAGTAGTCGAAGTGGCCGCCATTCGACATTCGAACACGTGGCGGTGGCCATCTTGTTTGTGTTCAGCTGTGTTTTTCGTCGAGTTCATGGAACTCAAATCAGACACAGTACAGCACGAACACCTCTGAACAGTTACCTTCCACTGAACTTCGGCTATTCAAATAGGAGTCTAACGGCGTTCGGGCAGTCGAAGTCCACGAACAAGGGACTTACACTGTCTTTGCTCACGAACAAGGGTTCACTGGCCTCTTCCTGAACTGTGTTTCAAAGCTGTTGTATGAGGAGACATGGAGATATTGAGGTAATTAGAGATAAAAAAAAACAGAGGAGATAACATTTGGGAAAAAAAGATATGAAGGATCAGATAGGTGAAAGTCATAAACAGTGAACATAAATTAACAAGATTATCAGTGAAAGAAGTAACACTAGCTAAACAAACTAACAAAAAGTAATAAAGAATGAACATAAAATAACAAGACTATAAATGCACCAATTTAAAAAAACAAAACAGAAGGTCAGGATGGGAGATATAAGTAATATATAAGAATATATTAAGAATATAGGGAGGGAGGTGGAATAAAACACAATTTTATAACATGACAGGAGGCTTCCTATTTTGCATTAACTCTCTTTACTAAACTCCACAGCAGTAAAGAAAACGTAAAGAGTAACAAATAAATCACTGAGCAGCATAGTATATAAGGGTCATGCTGCCTGTACACTTCCTCTTTCTTTACTGCTCCATCGCAGACAGGTCAGAATATTTGCTCCCCTGGAGCTTTCTACATTTATTGTCATTTCTTGTTTGTTCCATATATATATTTCAAACATATTTTCTCACTTTGTTTACATCCTTTTATTTCTATTTCCTATCTTCATCAGGGCTGTGGGACTAGGGGCTCTCTGTGGGTCTTTTCTGCCCCTATTTGCCCCTCTATACCTCCTGGGACCCTCCCTTGGCTTCCCCTTGGTCCCCCCAGGTTCCCCCACTGCCCCCCTTCCCTGGAGTGCCCTCCTGGGCTCCCTCCTTGCGGCCGGTTTCATTCGCGGCCGTTTTCGCGCCGGCCCGCTTCCATCCGCGGCCGGCCTCAAAAATTTAGTCCCCGGCTTGCGGCCTACCTCGCGGCCGCCATTTTGGATCGCGGACATCGCGAGATTCTCGCGGCCATCTTAGTTTTGCCTCGTGCATCTCATTAGGGACTCAGTGTGGCTGTGCTAGCTTGCTGGTACCTCTGAAACTGCTGTTTTCCTCACCTTTTGTGTCTGACACCATCTGTGACTATAGGATTACCTACTCAAGCACCCCATCTGCTGCTTTCAACCTGCTACTCAGTCTGTGCCTCATCTGCTTCTATCAAGCTATCCTGTGGCTGGGTCAGTCAGGTCAGTGCTGCTGCCTGTTTATTATTACTGTGACCTGCACTTAAGGGTCCCAACCCTGTGCAACCGGGGTGAGCCCCCACTATAAAGACGCTGCTTACTGGGAGACTAGCTGTTGCAGTTCTCTCTAACTGGGTGAGCCCCAGTTTATAAGGTCACTACTATACCCTGCTGGGGTTATTCTGGGCTTGCTCCCACAATACTTCCAAATCTGACCCTACGCCTACTACCAAGACCTGGGTGCCTGTTTATTACTGTGCCTTTCAATAACTTATAGCCTACCCTACCATGGAAGATTCCCAGAATGTCCCTGTGGACTTCCAGGCCATGATTAACGCAGCTGTCGCTGCCTCTGTGGAGAAGGCACTCTCCAAGGCCCGAGCTTCGGCTCCTGACGTACCTAAACGCAGACGTCCACGCCACGAGTCGGAATCTGAATTGTCCGACCACCAGGCACGGGAGGATTCCCGCCCTAAAAAGCGCCATGACAAAGGCGAAGATTGCACACCCAAACCAACTAAGGGTAAGGCACCTGCCAAGCACAAGTCTGCCAAATTACACACCCCGGCCCCGCGTCAGGAGTACTCTTCTGACGAAGAGCAAGAAGCCCAGTCCATGTCAGTGCTGGATGAATGGCAAGCTGACGCCTCTGACTCGGACTACGACGCATGGGGTTCGGACGAGAAATCTGTCTCCGCTTTCATGCGAGAGACTCTCCTGGGTGCGGCCCAGACAGGAGGTGTCGAGGACACTGCGGACGCAGAACCTCCTCTTGATTCAGACACCATCTTGGACCCCTCAGGCCAAGTGATGTTCGACCCCCGCAACATTCGGCACCCCAGGTCGGGTGACTGGTCGCCTCCTGAACACCTTTCTAGGTTTATGCACCTGTGGCTCCGCAAACCTCTGGAGAAAGAGGTCCGCAGCCGACTCAGGTCCGAATGCCCACGCCCTTCCCTGCCGGATAAGGTCGCGCAGACCCCGGAATTCGACAAGGTTATGTCAACCTTCATGATGCGCAGTGGTAGAGACCCTCGCCGAGGGGTGGAGAAAGGCCTATGGGGCGCCCAAGATAACCTGCTGGATTCTGTAGGCCCCCTGGCTCGCATTATGTATTTGGCGGATGATGCCTACACCAAAGCCGATTCCTTCTCCGCTGAGGACATCAGGGAATGGGCACATGATGTTCGTGAGTGGGCACAACGGTGTTTTTGTTTCATCGGAAACACTAATGTTACGCTCTCTTCGGAGAGAAGAAAAGCAGCGTTGTACCGTATTAACGGCAAACTGGCAGACCTTGGCACAAAGGAGATAGGGCCCCAGGCACAAGGGAAATTATTTGGCGAACCGTTCCTCAAGGAACTCAACAAACACGTGAACGTGTTCACCTCCCTTAACAAGGCGCAGTCCTCAATGCGCAGAGTGTTCAGAAGCAACCCTACCAGAGGGGTTTTTGGAAGGGCTGGCCGGCAACGGGGCCGTGTCGCCAGCCGATTTTGGCCTTCAGGCACCCGCACCCAACCAACACCGTTTTACCCGACAAGAGACTACCGGCAACAACCCTTTTCCAGAGGCTCGGATAGAGGTCGTGGACCCCGCGGACGCGGACGTTCCCGCTTTGCTGCAGGTAAGGACCCACATTCCTCCACTGTTACCATGTACCCGCACTGCGGGCCGTATTTCCCTTTCTTTCCAGAATTGGGCCGCCCTATGCTCAGACACATGGATCCTACAAACTGTACAGGGATATATCATAGACCTAGTGGGGAACCCCTCTCAGGTTCAGCCCCCTCCCCCATCCACATGTCATCCTCCGACCACAACCTCGTCAACGCGGAGCTACGCGAGCTCCGAGACAAAGGGGCTATCCAGCCGGTCCGCGACGGGGGTGGTTACTTCAGCAACATCTTCCTGGTTCGGAAAAAGTCGGGAGAATACCGCCCCGTCATCAATCTACGCGCCCTCAACGCATATGTGGTCTACCGCCACTTCAAGATGGAAGGCATCCACCTCCTGCGAGACCTTCTTCGAAGCAACGACTGGTTCACCAGGCTCGATCTAAAGGACGCATATCTGTCAGTCCCGGTACACCCGGACTGTCGAGCACTCCTACGTTTCCTCTGGCACGGACGCCCTTGGCAATTCACTTGCCTCCCTTTCGGGCTCAGCTCAGCCCCATGGTGCTTCACCAAACTCCTAAAACCAGTGGTGGCCCACCTAAGATCAAGGGGCATTCGATGCATCATCTACTTAGACGATCTCCTCATCTTCTGCGCCGACGAACACAGACTACGCCAACACACTCACCTGGCAGTGTCCCTACTGG